AACCTGAGTGACAGATTGGGACCTTATTTCTAAAAAAATAAAAATACAAATAAAAATATGGAGTGTAAGGTTTGTTTATACCATTGCTATCCACACCAGAGAGGCATACATTGGCATTTTTCTACGACTGTTTAGCTATAGAAAGTATAGGCTGAAAACAACTCAGTCCTCTGAGAGCATATCATCTCAGAGAGAAATGATGGCACAGAAATGGTAAATGATAATTGCCATTTTCAGGTGGGGTTGGGGAGAGTATTAGGGAAAAGACTTAATGCATGCTGGTACTAATACCTAGGTAATATGTTAACGGCTGTAGCAAAACACCATGACACTCGTTTACCTGTGGAACAAACCCGTACATCCTTTTTAAGTACCCCGGAACTTAAAAAAATAAAATAATACTTAAAAAAATAAAGAAATGGTAAATGATGCACAAACCCAGAAAATTAAACAATCATCTGCCCGACTCATGGCTGGTATAAATGGAGCCCATGCCTTTATGAGCATACAGAGATGCAGTCCTTCAGAGTTCCATTCCTGACATTCCTCTCAGCTCCTTTTGAACTATGCATTTTCGTTCTAAAGACCTATGTTTAAACACCATCACATCCCACAGTGCCAATGAGTTGCAAAAGACGGCGAGGCTCTATCTCAGTATCACAGGCCAACACCATGAATTCACCTAAATTCTCTGCTCTACCAAACAAGTCTTATTTATTATGATTATTATTGTCCTGTGAATGCCTACTAATGCTTCACAGCTCAACTCAAATACCACTTCCCTCCCTTTGAACCACCTTCTTCCCAACTCTAAGAGGCACTGGGTTACTTCTTTCCTGTGTTTTCCTATGCAACCCTGCCTGAATACCTCAACCTAGAGGGTAGCCTGGTGGATAAAAGACTCTGGTCCAACACATCTAGTCCAAATCTCAGCTGTCCCACTGGGATTTTTTGTGACCCTGGACTACTTATCTTTCCCTAAGTGTAGGCTTCAGGTTCTCCATAGGCCAAAGGAGAATTACAAGGCATGGCTGTGATTTCTTACCTAAGACGCCTTGACCTCACCAGCATTTTGAAAACCAGATTTTTGGGGCTTTTGCAGAAAGGTATTTCAGTGGAAACACTGATTACGTAAAGCCCTCAGCGGGGTCTAGGACAGCACCCTGAAATCAAACACATAAATATTCCCATAGCAAAATATATGAATATTTACACTAACTGGGATGAAGCAGGTCTATAAATAGCCACACATCATTTCAGGTCAACCTTTTGTTCCTCAATGAGCTTTGCTGCCAAACTTCCAAAAGAAATTGATTTTCAGAGCTTTCTGGAACTTAGAATTACGGATTTAAGAGGGCAGAGAAATATTGCTCAGTTACACTGATTTGTCATAAAAATACACTGAGGTGCTATCTAAGTATTCAGCAGCACAGAGCCTGGCACATAACAATATTGCGCTTCAATAATCATTACCTATATTTCCTCCTATTGACTTTATTATAGTCCTACAGATCGGGGTTTATCTAGTATTTCTTCCACTAGATGGTGAACCCACAGTTCAGTGGCTAGGATTGTCACTTTTGTTACAGAATGAGTATGCGGTGAGTGGATAACTGAAGGAACAAATGCATGATGGGCTGAATGTGACTCTGTTTACACCATCAACCCATCCAGGAAAATACTCTGCTGACTCATCATCTGTCAGACCTAGATGAGATGGGAACGAGTTGTCCAAGAGTCAAAGTGACTTGGCCATGTGTGGTCCAAGGGCATATCTATAAGGCAGATACCTAGACTTGAGGGGTGAGGGTCCACATTTGCAGCCCAGAGCCAAGGTCACGTTAGACCCAAACACTAACCAAACAGACTAACCGGTTACAAAGCTGTTGTTTTGAGTCCTATCATTTGGCCATGGTCCATAGCTTGGGTAAGACCTCTCAGTAGCTTCTGGACTCAAGACTGACTTGGGCAAGTGACTGAAGCTTCTGTGTTACCAGGTCAGACAACTCACTGATCATTCAAGGTATCATGAGAAATTTAGAATTAAGTAGTCTTAAATAGTACACTTGGTTCTTCTTACCCAAAGGTATCAACAACAGGATCTCTATCAAGGGGAAAGCAGCCAACAGTTGTACAATGCACTTGGGAATGCTACTATCATCCTTTCCTGTCTGCTTTTTCTACCCATGAAAACAGTCCAGACAGTTTCAGCTGAATTCTCCACAGTCATTCTATAATCCTCAACATGAGTAGAGGGAAACAACTCTCTATTTCGCTATACACGACAAGTTTAGACATAACATAATGGGTTCAGGAGATCTAATATGGAAAAGATTTTTTCCTAGAGGAGGAAGGGTAGATTCCTACCACTTGGAACAAAAGATCCTGTATGAGAAACTTCCCTAGAGCTGTTAGTAAATACCTCCATTCACTGCCTTTGCAGGATTAGGTGAGTGCTCTCTTAAAGTCTGGTACAGTGAATGGCTGGTCAATCACTTATTTTTTTTCTATATCTGAGCTAACTAAAACAGGGCAATGCTGGTCTGAATTTTCAAAACGGCACTTGAAAGTATTATAAAAAAGGAGCACTCATGCCACAAAATCACTGGCTCTTGAGTCTGGAAAGACCTTGAAAAGTAATCTCCAACTATAATACAACAATCCTTCCAAGTGGACACTATGGACTCTCTTTCAACATTTCTAGTCACAGAAAAATTACTCCCAGTGATGGAGTACACAGGCTTTATTGTGGATCATTTTCACATCTTGTCAATGACATATTAAGGTGGTGATAGAACCTCAATTCCCTAGATGAAATACGTTGCATCTTGAGTGAGCAAGAAACCTATAAGGTCACGGAATTGGTGAGCGAGCAGGATCGGCAGCAATGCAGGACAGCTGGCCACAGAAAAATCGTCTCAGAGGTGAGCATGTGTGAGTGACACAGTTGTTTCTTCCTTTGCACTGCTCTTACTTCACTTACAAATAAAACTGCACTGGGGTGATTTTAGTTTCTTGATGCCAAAGGGGAAATAACATGGGCTGTCTCAGCAAACCGTAAATCAAGCGAGTTTCTCTCTGCAGTAAGCTTTCCAGCACATTCCACAGCAATAGGAAAGGAAGGAGGTGAGGCCTATCACAGCAGCAGGTCTAGAGACTCTTCACCAAACCGCTCTCCTAACGTACAGGTGACTAGTTACCAGAGGTATCGCTTGTTGTTTTGGAAAAACTGAAGTATGATTAGGCTAAGATTTGCACGTAAAATCACTTGTTCCTTCCAAAACTAACTGGCTATGTTCCTCAAACACTCTGCAAAGGAGAAAGAAATAGGGCCACCCCAATTTCTCAGCTGGCCCTTGCATCTTCTCATCTATCACTGGGGTAATACGTCCAGAGTGGCATTTCGTAATGACAGCAACATTCCAGCAAATCGATAGTTATTTAATTCCCAACAAGCTCTCGAGTCCATTAAACCTGATTACATTCACCCATTTCAGTGGGTGCCGTTATTTTTCCTACACCGGCACTTAATCTATAACAGGAACTTATGAGAACTTTCAAAAGCAATTTCAGCATCAATCAGCATAGATTGAAGGCCACGATTTGCTTGTAATTATTTATCAGATGGGGCGGCAGAGGGTCTGACAAAACTCCAACAGCCGACCTTCACCCCAAGTTTCCAGTAGCAGCAAGAGGCCTGTTACTTTCTAAGCTGCCACTGAGCTCTACTTCGGAAATGGCAACCTTATCACGCCGGCCTGTGTATACCAGGAAAGATGCAACAAGTTCCACACTGCAAAGGACCATCCTCCAGGTGACCCGTTTATTTACAACATGTAATACAGAGAAAAGCTTCCGAATGCCCATAAATCCAGAAAGACAGAATGTTTTGCTGTTACTTGGAGTCACCCCCAAATGACTCTGATCACCCAGGTTCGTAAGTTAACAAAAGGTAACAGTAAAGTTCAGAAAAGGTAGGGGAAAAAGTGACAAGAATCCTTCCCAGAAATTATATTTAATGAGCTAGGGTATCATAGAATTTTTAAACACAAGGGACTGGAGGAACACAGGCAGACACAAGAATAAAGGTACCTAAATAGATTTTGTCTTCTTTTTCTGTAGAAAGGAGATACAGAATTTATTGCAAAGGCATGGTTATACACAAAAAACTACAGCAACAAAAAGGCACCTTGGATTTCTATGATGTGTGGGTTCTACTGCTGCTAGATGTGAGCTTTCGACAGAGAACTTCAGACACACACCCAGAAGCCAACACTCGCTTGCAAAGAAAACCTTAAGATAAGGGGCGGAAAAAAAGGTCCCAAATTGCTCATTGGTAGATTAATCCTCTCTGCACAGAATTTAAAAAGCCTTCAAAGTTAACCCAGGACACATTTCAGCCCTCCCCTTTCTTGCCATCATTAAGATGTAAACATCTGGCAAGGGATCCCTCGAATAAACTCTGAACTTCATAAATTACCCATCAATAGACAGTTCCTTCTTGCCTCTCTGCCACCACTCAAATTCAGGTGGGGAGAGCCTTCTCTGAAAATAGACAACCCTGCGTGGAGGCGTCCTATGAATTAATGCATATTTCATGCTCCTTTTCATTTCCTGGGTTAAAGCTCTTAACTGAGTCACCTCATGATAAGTTACTTTGCCTCATGATCTGCTCTGGGAGACTGAGTCCCTCAGAAAGCGGAGAAGGAGAGCAAATCCTTTGCCCCGTGGTCAACCTCCTGAAGCTAAGGCATGAATGTTAAACAGCAGTCAGATCAATACAAGCAAATATAGCTCAACTACACCATTTATTCAGCCATGAGAGATGTCGATAGCTAGATTAGGGTGATCCATCTTTTTGATTTCCTACTGTCTTCTCACTGACTACGCGAGGGCTTTTTCCTGTATTAAAAGTGTTTGCTTTCTCAACCATAAAAATTCCAATTATTACTCTGAGCACTCTGGAGTTAAGTTGCTGGCTGGCAAAGGCCTTGAATTACCTGAATCAGTCCAGGGAGGTAAGGAGCTGCCGGTACAATCATAGGCACACCATAGGGATGCAGGAGGACTCCTTGAGACGCCAACATGCTGTACGTGGAGTTATTATTCCCTCTGAAGCTCAACACATCAACGGAGAGTTAGGGGGAAATCTATAGACCCAACTTCTTCCGAACTACAAAGCTGGGAGCCAAATCGCTTCTGTCAGGAGCCAAGCACTCATCAACGCCGGGAGAGGAAAGAAAGAAAATCCGCATCAGCAACTCTTAATGTGAAAGTTTTCTTCCCAGACGACGAAGAGACACAGCAGCTGCAAAGTTTAAGCTACCAAAATGGAAGGTGCTATTTTGGGAACAGCTTGCCTAACATGACTAACCAAATACTCTTCATTAATTTAGTTCTGAGAGAGAGAGAGAGAGAGAGAGAAAGAGAGAGAGAGAGAGAGACACCGAGAGACCAAATGGCAGAGGGAGCCAGGTTATGAGACAGAAGCTCACCCCACCGAATTTGGCCAAAAGACCAAAGGATGGGGTCTACCTGGGATTTTTAGTGGGGGAGGGGAATTAGAAATATAAACGGATAGGATTATCAACGCCCACTTAAAACTGAAATCCAGCAGGTTAATATGAGCAACCTTTAGTACTGACAGAAAAATAAATAAATAAATAAAACAAAAAGATATTCAGTCTAATTTTCCTCCCTCTCTCTCTGATTTCAATTTTAAAGGGGCAATTTGTAAATAATACAATAAAACCACCAGCTTATATTTGCACAATGTGTGCTATGCAGAGAGACGGAGTTAAATTATTTACACACGTTATGTAATTTCATTCTCACAACAAGTCTCTGAAGTCGGTACTATTCTCAGTCCCATGTAACAAATGGGATACAGGGCTCATACCAGTTAAATGGTTTGTTCATGGTCACATAGCTAGCAGAAGACAGTGCTAAGCTACAGACACACTCCAGAGCCCGATTCCTATACTCATTCCTGTATTTCATTCTGTAATAACATTTTCTAGGCCTTATATTTTGCATTTTTAAAGACATTCTTTATTTTGAGATTTCAACTACGATATATTAACATGCAATGCATTAGTAAGAGATGTCTCCCTGTTACCAGAGTTTCAAGGTATATCTAATAAGCACCAAAACTATGGATGAGAAATACATTCAAGCATAGATCTGAAAGCTTTGTGGCATTTGAAAATACCCAAGCAATCATTTGGGATGTGTTACATGGCAGTAGATAAATGCCTAGGGGATTACAGGAGTTTGAATTATACTGACTTGGGTGTCCCATTTACTAGCTGTGTAATCTTGAACAAGTTACTCAGCCTCTCTGAACCCTGTGTGCTCATTTGGAAAACCGAGATAATAGCAGTCTCTACTTCAAAAGGCTGTGTTATCATTAAATGAAATCCTAGCACCATATCATGATGTGTACAGTACCAGTGGCCATTTGTCACTCTTATCATGTATTCCCCCTTCTCCCCGTTCTCCTGATGATTTGGTATAGACACATCTGTGGTTTCAGATTGAAGGCTTTGACTTGAGATTGAAGGTTCAGATAACATTCAAATTGTCACTCTTCTAATCTTCGTATTAGGAAGTCACGTGGGTGTGTGTGTAGTTCCACAATTTTGAAAACAATAAATAAAATTCTGATGAAGTGATTCCACTTAAATAATGCCCAAGTCCCAGGGATCAGTGAAAATCACCTTCAAAACCAAACATTCACTTGCCACATCCCACCTCTCTCTCTAAACAGGACACTTGATATAGATTTTGCTGAAACTGGGAGAGAGCTTCAAACACCACCAAACATATCCAACTCTCGGCGTTTTCTAAATCCAAATGTCAATTCCTCCACTTTCAGACAGCCAAGGTGTTTTTACACTACACTAATTTTAGTTGCTTGATTTAGCTGCATAATTACATTTCTAGATAATGACAGCGGACAGGGTTTGGCAGAGAATTCAATTATTTAAGGCTGAATTTTGGCCATCTTGACAAGGTTTCTCTGTAATTGATTCTCATGCATCAAAGTGGCCACGTTGTACAATTCAGAAAGCTCCCGTAACAGCTGCGTGCTGACCCCTCTTACTCAACAGCCCGATACTGTTTCTAACTTTAGCTTTTGACAACGACTTTCAACACCACATTTCTGAGAAGTTACCAGGGAGGACAGAAGCGTCGCCGTGAGATGGACGTCTCTCTCCTGTCCGCCTTCCTTTAGCTATCAACAGGAGGGGCGAGCTGTTAGTTACTTAGGTAAGGCCTGCGTCAGATCAAATTGTTTCTTTAGTGTTATAAAACAGAAAGACCACTGGACCAGGAGGCAGGAGACTTAATTCCATCATTTAGGCCAGAAATTTACACATTTAGATTCTTGGTTTCTTGAGCATAGGACAGAGGTAACTATATTCACTGACTCTTAATCAAGAATGCTTCAGTTAGCAAACATGAGGAGGAGGTAGCTAGAAACTACAGAGCAGATAGTGAGAGAAGATAGTGATCCACTGTATTTATGTAACTCTTTCTCTGTCTCTATGCACACGCACACGCACACGCACACACACACACACACACACACACAGAGAAATCTCCATATTCTCTGTTTCCACATCCACAGATTCAAACCACCTCAGACCTAAAATATTTAAAACAAAGCAAAACAAAACACCACTGCACCTGCACTGAAATACACAGACTGTTTGTTCTTGTCATCATTTCTTAAACAATAGAGTGTAACAACAATTTACACAGCATTTACATTGTATTAGGCTTCATAAGTAATCTAAGGATGATTTAATAGGTATATGGGAAGACGTGCATGGGTTATATGCGAACACTATGCCATTTTATAACGGGGACTGAGCATGTAGGTTTTGGTATCTGGGAAAGGTCCTGGAACTGATCCCCCACCATATTGACGGCCAGCTGTATATATAACGGCATTTCAGGCAATGACAAGTTGGATATATGATGGTGGTCCCAGCAGATTATATTATAATATCATATTGTTATTCAGTACAGTAAGACGCTCTGCAGGTTTGTAGCCTAGGAGTAATAGGGTATCCCATATGGCCTAGGCATGGACGAGGCTATGCCACCTAACTTTGTGTAAATGTGACTCTGTGATATTTGCACAATGACAAAAATACCTGACCCATTTCTCAGAATGTCCTCATTGACCATCGTTAAAAGACGTGACTGTATGTACATGTGTTTATATATATTAAAGAATCTGCTGATTTTAGCAGGACAGAAATGAGAGATACATTACACACAGGATAGAAAGACATATAGTTATAACCTGTGCAGGAGGTATTTTCTTTTTTCTTCATAAGAATGCTATGGTCCTGGCATGGTGGTTCATGCCTATAATCCCAGCACTTTGGGAGGCCAAGGTGGGCAGGTCACGAGGTCAAGAGATCGAGACCATCTGGCCAACAGGGTTAAATCCTGTCTCTACTAAAAATACAAAACTTAGCTGGGCGTGGTGGCATGTGCCTGCAGTCCCAGCTACCTGGGAGGCTAAGGCAGGAGAATGGCTTGAACCTGGGAGGCGGAGTTGCAGTGAGCCGAGATCGTGCCACTGCATTCCAGCCTGGGTGACGGAGCTAGACTTTGTCTCGAAAAACAAAAACAAAAGAACGCCACGATACAACAAGATTTTGCTCTTCTGCAGGATCGTAGTACTCATGTTTTCAAAGCTGCACTGACTGCGTCCTTGTTCAAAACCTTCCACTAATCGTAAAGCATGTAAATAAATAACAGCTACTACACAAAATCTCTTTTTCTTGACATAGGTTCTATTTCCCCAAATGGGAAGCACCGAGTATTACTGAGCTGTGATTCTTTTTTCTTGGAGCCTCCTCTAAGTCGACACCACGTTGTGTGTCTTTCCGCTCCCCAGTGGCAGTGCAAATGGTTCACAGCAAATGTCTGGCTACCCAACACTTATTGTGTGATATTAAGCACACGGTGTAATGCAGGAACTTAAAATAGTAGAAAAATTAGCAAGGTGAGAGGAGAGGCGGGCAGTTCTGATCGTGGCTAAGAGACATGCAGATTCCCCGAAACATACTGGAGTGAAATGAGGAGCCATGTATTGCCATCTGCTCTGTTCATCACGGGCAGGGAATGGTAAATGTTTTTCTGTAAACACTCAGATAATAAATATTTTAGGTGTTGCAGAACTTACAATCTCTATTACGACTGCTCAAAATTCTGCTGGTGTCGCGTGAAAAAGCATCTGTTGACAATACGCCAATGAATGATTGTGGCCATGTTCCTGTAATACTTTATTTGTTAAATTCCTATCATTTTTACAGTTTACAACATATTATTCTGTTTTTAAAAGAAAATTTCCAGCCAGTTCTAAGTGTAAAATCCATTCCTACCTCGAAGATTAAACAAACACAGGCAATGGTCCAGGTTGGCTCACAGCCCATGGTCTGCTGACCCTTAATCTAGGGTATGTATTTTATCCAAGAAGTCAGGCTTCAAGACAATAGCAAATACACACACTCCTTCGCTGTTCCTTTCTGCTTCCCCACTATCTTCTCTCTCCTAACGCTTCCCTGGTGCCAGTTCTGCTCATCTCTGCTGTGCCAGAGATTTCCATCAAGGCTTTTACTTTTTCTTAGCCAGCCTTTGATAGTTCAATCTCATCCCTCCACCTAAAAAAAAAAAAAAAAAAAAAAAATCTTCCATCTTTTTCTACCATCCATGATGACATTCCCTTGTTGGGTATTAACTCCTCTTTTCCTGTCTAGATAAAGGCATTTTGGCTCTGCCTGTCAGACACTGCATCTCCTTTCCCAGATCTTAAGAGCTAACATAAGCTGGGCACATTTGTGCACACCTGAATCTCAGCTACTCTGGAGGCTGAGGCAGGAGGATCACTTGAGCCCAGGAGTTTGAGACCAGGCTAACAAAGAGAGGCCAACAGGGGTGACCTGCCCTTCTGAGTGGTAGCTACTCAAAGTTTAGACATCAGTGAACGAGAGGAAAGTAAGAAAGAGAAATGCTGGCTATGATGAAGGTGAGGGACAGTGGGTATCCAGAGAAGCCAATTCCTGTCCCATGGATTCTGTTGGTCAACAGAGCAACCTGCAGTCATAGGGACCAAGCCCAATCCATAGATAGGGATGATGACCGTGATAATAATTTGTCTGCACAGTGTAAAAAAAAGTTAATATTGCTTAAGGGGGACATTTATTTCATGTAAAACCTAAATTTACACTATCTCTTGAAAGAATGGAACATCTAGGTATGTTGAGCCACATTTCTTTGTACCAATAATCACA